TTAGTATTGTTTATTGGTTCAATTGTCATAGTAGGATTTGGATTGCTTTGTAGTATTTATTAAGGAATTGGTTATTATTTTCTTGTAGGAGAAGTAGTCATATTTTGTGTAGGAGAAAGGAGAAATTTCTATGCCTAAAAATACCTATCCACTCTCAAATTTAATATTATTAGAAGATTGTAACTCAAAGTAGTTTATTCTATTTCTTTCGAATTATCATTCTATTTCGTACTAGAGTTTGATACACCATTTCATCGAATTCTTTTACCGTAACAAACCTCGTCTCCTTTATTGAATACCTATGCAGCGATGAGCATCTGCTGACTGCTATTGCTTCGCACATGTTGAATTAGCTCAGCCCACTGCTTATCTTGTAAAAGTAAAGACCAACCCTTTAAACGTTGTAATGGCCAATGGGGTCTCACAAAAACAAAGGTGAGGGAGGAAAGCAAGAAAAAGACGAGCATTTTCTAGTACGACTTGAGGTGGGTAGTATTATTGTCATGGATGGCTTCTTGGGTAAGTCCTCCTCGATTATGTGAATCGATTACAGAAAAGGTTTATTTGTGAGACATACGGCGAGGTTGGTGCGCACGCACTACTTAGCTAGTGATATCGCTAATTGTTGGGTGGTCGTTTTAGATTGTTGACCCGGTTAAGTAACTGGGTTAAGGATTAACGGTCTGATCGTTGTAGTTCGGTTTATTTTGAATATATGAAAAATATTATTATATTGTTCATACATTTATAAGCTATATCAAATCTATCAGTAATAATATATGACATTACAGCAAAATAATAGGTCGTACTTGGATCCAACACATAGTAAACTTCACACAAACTTATATAACATCAATATTCAAATGTTAAATTTAGAATTTCAAAGATAGGCTTTGGAGAAGAGGAAGGCGGGAAAATGTCTTTTTTTTCACAAACCAAAGAAAAAATATGATGTCGTATATCCTCCAACTTTGGACCTTACGAGTATGTGTGATTTTTTCACCGAATCAAGGTCAAAACACGTCGACCAAAATCGACTCGGTGGTTGACATCCTTAGTACAAACAACATTTTTTTAAGGAAAAGGGCGCATACGAGTCGTTGCTACTTGCTAGGGCCCAAGAAAGATCACTGGAATTATGATTATTATTGGTGGTAGGGGGTCATGAATTATCATTACCACTTATTGTCTTGATATTTTATTTTAAATCGTTCTTGAAAGGATACAGATTGTAGGAATTTTAGAATGCTATATAACATTGATGGGTTAAAGACACATTTGGTCACTGAGATTACAAAATCGGGACATGTTTAGTCACTAGAAAAAGTTAATATCAAATTTGGTCACTACAATTACTAAAATAGGTCATATTGAGTCACTCTCCGTTAGTCTCCGTCCAACTCCGTTAGTGAAGTCCGTTAAGTGCTGACGTGGCTAACGGATGCGCCTAGTCAGCATCGTTTTGACCCAAAAATCATCATACCCGACCCGCCACGTCAGTTTCACCCGCCATGTCATACACCAACCCAACCATTAACCCAACCCGGCACAAAACCAAACTCAACCCACCTAACAAAAAAAAAGGAAAATCATCTGGTTAGTGGCCATTTTCAGACCTTCGACTTCCTGGTTCCGACTCGAACACGAACACCACCACCTTCGACTTCCTGGTTCCGAGTCCGAGCGTGAGGGTGTGCCACGCGTGGTGGGCCAGGATCGTGAAGTTGGTCGGGAGGAACGCGGCGGTGGTCGGGAGCGGCGCCGCGAGGGGCAGCCGGTTCCCCGGCTGCTTCCGGAGCAACGAGTGGAGGTCGCCGTTGGAGCAGTAATCGATTAACAGGCAGGTGTAGTGCGAGACGTCGATTCGAGCGTAGAGCGTGGGCAAGAAAGGGTGGTCTAGCAAGGAGAGGATCCTGGCCTCCGTTTCCACATGGGAGAGCTTCTTCTTGCTGAGAGTATCTCGATCGACGACCTTGAGCGCGAATTGGGCGGAGGCGGCGTCGCTGGAATCCCTAATTTTGCAGAGGAAGACCCGCCCCAAATTCCCCGCGCCGAGGAGGCGGAGCAGCTTGAGGTGGCTGAGGTGGAGCCGGCCGTCGGGGGAGAGGTTCGTGGCGGTCCTAATAGCCGACCAGTGAGGGTCGGATCTGCGGTGGTAATATCCGATCAAGGAAGCCGTGAGGACGGAGCTGCCTTACCTCTGCAACCTCTACAACACTCCCGGGCTCCTTGCTTCCTTCGGGATCAATGTCACCCAGGCCTTAGGTCTCACCACGCGCTGCGGCATCAGCGCCGATACCAGCTCTTGCAGCAAAGGTAAAGGTTCAATTGAAGCTTTATGTATGTAATCCGCTTTTTCCGAATCGCGAATTTGTCGAAGGTGGTGGTGTTCGTGTTCGAGTCGGAACCAGGAAGTCGAAGGTCTGAAAATGGCCACTAACCAGATGATTTTCCTTTTTTTTTTGTTAGGTGGGTTGAGTTTGGTTTTGGGTCGGGTTGGGTTAATGGTTGGGTTGGTGTATGACATGGCGGGTGAAACTGACGTGGCGGGTCGGGTATGATGATTTTTGGGTCAAAACGATGCTGACTAGGCGCATCCGTTAGCCACGTCAGCACTTAACGGACTTCACTAACGGAGTTGGACGGAGACTAACAGAGAGTGACTCAATATGACCTATTTTAGTAATTGTAGTGACCAAATTTGATATTAACTATTTCTAGTGACTAAACATGTCCCGATTTTGTAATCTCAGTGACCAAATGTGTCTTTAACCCTAACATTGATGCTATAGGTTTTTATCTTTATAGTACAACTTGAAATTGTACTTTTAACGTTATGATACAACTTTAAATTGTACATATACTGTTTTGTACATATTTTTTTATGGTACAACTTGAATTTGTACTTTTATAGTACAACATGAAATTATACATTTAATGTTATGGTAAAATTTCAAGTTGTACATTAAACCACCAATGTTTTATAGCATAGTAGAAGTGCTCATCAAATTGATGTGATTCCAATTAGATTATAATGCTTACAGCTTCTCTTGTACCGCGTAGGCGAGTATTGCACCTGCACTGCTCTATACACGATGAATATCGCGCGGGAAGCCTCTGATGAAAATAACACTATCTAGTATTAAGATAATTTCACTTATTTTGAGGGGATTCAAGAGCCAACGACATAGAAATTGAAGACTCACTCAGTACTAACTACACTCCCAATTGAAGGCCAAGTGGAACCTTCAACCGGGGTAATATATAGAGCAAGTATTTTTTGAATTATCAAACTCGAACGATTTATGTATACTTACTCCAGCAAAGTACAAATTATCTAGCGGTAGAAACATTGTTTTAAGCTATTTAACTAAAGAAACAAGCAAATAAAACAAGGTTGAATTCAAGAGAGAATTCTTCACTCGGATGATTATCCCTCTAGTCACGTGTTGAGTCGATAAATTTGATACTCTAGCGTAATGTGCATATTATATATACCTTTAGAATATCAAAGCTAGTTAGGAATCCCTATTCAAGTTGTCCTAATCCGCCTAATCGCAAAGGTGTACCGAACTATCGGATTAGGCAATTAGGGCAACCAAATCCCCTCCCTCTGGTGATGACCCGGGACGACGTAAAAAAACCAATCACCATCGTTCATGGATCCCTTACAATGATTGAATAGTGACCCAAATTACATAAGGAGATCCTCTCTTTCTTAAGTTAATTAGTCGCAAAATTGAGAGAATTGATCAAGAACTCTCAATTATCATGCTAAATACCCAATCAACATATAATCAAACATGTCAATCATAACATAGAGTTCACAATCATCAAACTACAACATCCTAGACTAAGGTCCACATCATCAAAGTGAATGTAAAATATACTCTATGTCTAGAGAAAGAACTACAACTAAAGAGAAGGAAAAACCCATGAAAAGATGAATTTCCTTCTTCCTAGTTGCTTGGGATGGTGTTGAAGTTGAAATCTGGCCTCTTTTAGTCTTAGGTAGGTAAATTCCTCTTCAATCTTCCTTGGTTAGTCACTTCCTCTATCTAGAATGTAGAAGAAGACTCGAATCTCTCTCTAACACTCTTCTCTCCTTGAAATCTGTTCACTCTTCAAATTTCTACCCGCAGTGCAATCTCACAGCCACACGTCACGACCGTGATGTGTACAGTGAAAACGTGACATTGACACAAAATGTACGGTTTCATTTACACATTTCACGGTTTCCTTGTATTCTTCATGCCCTTAAACGTGATAAATTCTCTATTTTATTATGCGAGCCCTTTGAGGGCATTAATAATGTGAGCCCTTTTATTTTGTCAATTCTCTATTTTCTTCTTTTATTAATTCATCTTTTTTATTTTGTTTTGTTTATTCTCCTAATATGCGTTACTATTTATTAAGCATACTTTTGTTGTTATGTGATCAATCATTCTATTTTTTAGTATTTGATTTTACATCTTTAATCATAACTCTCACTCAAACTCAAATATGAAAATCAGGAAGAAAACCTCAAATATATGTTGTGTTCACTAAGCATATTTTTGTTGTGTTGAAATCGATATATTTGTTTGCATTTGGTTTTGCAATTTTAGAAATCTCTCGCTCCCTATTTAGATAGTGGAAGTGGCCTAGAAATCACAGAAGCAGATGCTACATTCTTCCACCTTCTTTCTCATTGATTTTTTCCATTTCAAATGCAAAAATTTCATAAATCCTCTAATTAATAATTGTCGAGCTCCAAATATACTGATCATCATCCTCTTATCCATAACCTCATTGACCATCGAGTACAAATGACTTTGGAGCTCTCCCACACTTTTGGGATTTTTCTTGCTGTTTAGGGAGTTACATTTTGACTTTGGAGCTCTCCCACAATTTCGTAAATTCTCTAATTAATAATTGTTGAGCTCCAAATATGTAGATCATCATCCTCTGATCCATAACATCAGTGACCAGCGAATACGTACAAATGACTTTGGAGCTCTCCCACACTTCGGATTTTTCTTGCTGTTTAGGGAGTTACATTTTACTAATTTCATACCAACACATTTAGAGTGTTCTATACCACTGGGTGCGGAGCGCAAGCGTGCGCATATCTATTATGTAAGAAAGACGAGATAGATGCAATAATAAAGCCCCATTACATAAAAACCCAACCCACAGTATGACATGAAAAATCAAATGCACTATATTAGAGCACGCTATCATCATTCAGTAACGGGTTGCTCCATGGGATACACATCAGCTGTCTCGCATGCATGGCTTTTCTCCTCTTCAACAAATACAAATCTTTGATAAAATGTTGCGACGTTTAATTCTCACTTGTGGAAGCGGTACATATGAATTTCATCAACAAAATTGTGCCTACACAAGAACATGAGCAGAAAGCTCATAAATTCACGACTGAGATTACTTATCTTTGTTAGAGGTGGCTGTGTGATCTACTTCATCACCAACAGAGTCATTTGTGCCGGATGTAATTAAAGGAATGGTCTGCCCAGTTTGGCCATCAAGTCCATTGCCGTCCTCCTCGGTCTGCCCAGTTTCGCCATCAAGTCCATTGCCATCCTCCTTGCTCTACCAAAAACAAGAATCATAAGCTAAACATCCAACAAGAAGCAAATTGAGCATTGAGGCAAGGGATGACACACTGAAAGGTAAAAATGAATCATAGCTAAACAACCAACACCATGGAGACCAAAAGCCAATCTTGGGCAATATCCTTTCTACTTACGAGAACGACAGCACAGAACCTACGCTTTGATTCTCCCAGTAAAGGGGGGAGAAACTCATCAATACAGAGGGAATAACAGCAATTTAGATTCAGGCAATAATACCCGTATGATAAGTTCAAGAGGATTCTTTAGTTGACTGTATTTCTCCATCAGCATTAGCTCCTCGGCCTGCAAAAATCAACCAGCACCAAGATCAACATGGTATTTTTCAGTGGTTAACCCAAGAGAAAAGAAACACAGATGAATGGCACAGATCCCTGCAATGCCAAACCACTATACTTCATCCTACTGTACTTACTGGTCATAGCAAATTTTCTGACCTTAAGCCTTTTCAGTTGAAAGTTGATCAATACCTACTGCTTGATAAGACCTTGCTTGACATCTAGTTTATAAGCTGAATCCAAGGACCAAGTCAAGTGCTTCTCGCAGATTTTGATCGAGATAAGCAAGGAAATCATCTTCACGTTCAACTTTAGCCGGAACCAAAACAACATCTAAGAGGAAAATAATAGGAGAACAAGGTAACAAGCTAAACTGACCTTGAGCTTGGTCAGCTCACCCTGCAACGAACCCAAAACTTCCCTCAATAGCTCATCTTGCTTTGACAAATGCCTGCGGCAATGTATGTAAACCACAGAAATACCCGATTCAGTTTCAAACGGTTTAACAGTTTAATAAAGAATAAAATCCACAAAGTAGCATACTTGAGGGTTTCTGCCAAGTGCTGAGGATCCATATTAGAACGCAACGCCTGATTTCGATCTCAAGATCAAAACAAATGCGACCAGCGGAGGTAATTGGCTACTGGCGGAAGCTAAAGACACGAACAATAAAGAATTAGCTCCGGAACGGTTCGATCGATGGCTACTAGCTAAGAACATTAACTAGGCCATTCATCAAGAACACGATCACAACAAAGGAAGAGAAACCCTAACTCGTCAATCAAAAGATGAGCAAAATTGAACGATGCGTGCCAGCTCCTCTGATGCCTAAACCGAGAACCGCACCCTCGGAGTGTGCCACAAAACCAAGATTCTGACCTCCGTATAGCAATTCCGTCAACCGCTCTCACCGTCCGGCATCACCCCAAGACGACAATTCCTCCCTGCAAGCCTCAAACAAGTATAGAGAAGAAAAGAGAACGGATTCGAGAGAAGTTGAGGTAGTGGAGTTACGGAGGAATTCAGAAAAGAAAAAATGCTTGGGTGCGAGAATTGAAAGGAAGGGAAGGGAAGAGACGAGAACTGTGTCGACTGTCGAGGGGAAGCACTAGATGGATCAGGACGATACAAGTTCAGTGGGTAAGTCCCCCGAATTGGGCCGTTAACTAATCTGAACATTTTCACGTTTAAGACAATGGCACATGGGCTAGGCTTACCTTCTTTTCTTCTTCTTTTATAAATGGGAGTAGACAATCTCAACTTTGATTTAAAATCAAATTGGGTTTGGAGAGCCCCGGTAAGTCGTACATAATTCAGAATACAATGGTGTGATCAGAAAAAGGAAAAGACTGAAACCCCAAAGGCATCGTATGACCTCGACTAGCAAATCCTGAGGTTAATAACGAACGTTGCAACCCAGCTTCCAGTGTGATCTATAATCAGTGCACCGGCAACTGCATAACCTGATTCAGGAATGACGGAGCTGTCGGAGTTGAGAATGACCCACTCGGGAGGAGGCGGCATCCACGAGATCAGCTCGCCATTCTAGCAGGTGGATTAGGCTGATGGCTAGCCTTATCATTGCCCATGGTAGTCTACACTACATTAATCCATGCCTGGACACGCTATAAAAAGACTTCAGCTGAGACGACTTTGCCCGTGAAGACTCGGTCGTTCCTGGTCAGCCAAAAGGACCATCAAGTAATGTCGAACATGAGCCGCGTGGCTTCTGTCGAAGATATCTCAGAAGTCAATCTTGGAAAGGAAGTCCAAAAATGTCTGATATTCAGAAGGCTGAATGACAGGCAACCAAGTTAACCTAGAAAAAGAGAAGTCATGCAACACATGCAGGATTGTTTCTAGGATAGCCTTGCAGTTAGGGTACAAGGCCGAGGAATTTAAATGGTGTCGCTCTAGTTCTGAATTGTTGAGGAAGCAATCTCGAGCCGCTGATTCAGGCTCATTTGTACACTTTTTACCCTTAGTTTGCTTAGTCGTTTGAAGCATTTTTACTCCGGGAGGTTTGGTTTTACGCCGAGTTGTGCCTTGTTTTGTTGTTTTTCAGACTTTGGCATGTGGAACCAACCCCGGAGTCGAAGGTTGGACAAAAGGGCGAAAAATCAAGTCAAACGGTGGAAACAACAACAGTTCACGGTTTGGGCTGTGAGTTCATGGTCTAAGACTGTGAACTGGAGGCGATTCCCGCGAGCAGCCAGGCATCCAGAGCACAAATGGCTTTCACTGGGCACAAGTCAGTTCATGGTCTAACGACCGTGAACTCAAGCCATTGCCCGTGAGCTGGGATTAGTGATGCGGTGCGTTTGGACTTTAGTTCGCGGTCTGGGATTTCAGTTCGCGGCTGTGAACTAAGACAGTGAACTGAGCCCGATCTGGGTATATAAAGGAGGTTGAGCTAAAGGGAAAAGGGGAGAGACCTAGTGTGAGAAACTTCTTCTTGAGATTTCTATAGTGACTTAGTGACGAAGCAAAGAAGAGGAGAAGCTAAGGTTTCATCTCCAAGCAAGGAATTGGGAATTCCTCCCCCAAAGGGGGATCTCTTCAACACAAGGAGCAAGACTAGCATCTCTTTGATGGTTTTTCTTCTTCTTTATTGTGTTTTACCTTCTCCTAGTATGGAGTAGTCCCTTCTTTTACTTGGGTGTTTGTAGACCCTAGCTACAATTATGTGAATGCTTGTATGGATTGAATGATTTGAGTGTGGTTGTGTTTAATGTGAATGGGGAGGTATTATTCATGAATGATTGTGTTGTGTGAAAGCCTATCAATCTAATTGCCATTCTAACCTAGGTAGAGAGAAAACCCCCTTCCTTTCTTTGAAAGAAGCTTGAATGTTGGGTTTTCTTAGGCAATTCATTGTCTCCTAGTTAGATTAATGCAGGGCAAACCTCCTATTTAGTATTAGTATCTAGGGTTTGGTTGTGGGTGGCGGTCCGAACTCTTATTCGAGGGGTGAAGTCTAACCAACCCTTAGTCAATAGGTCGAGAGAGTCACGTTGGTGGCTTGGATCATATCCCTTTCCCTCGACCTAGAGACTAAGAGAGTGGCGCTTGGCTACTTGTTATACTTCCCTACGGTTTACAACCCCTCGCCACACACGCTCATTCGATCCAACAAGTCGTAATTGCTAGCTAAGGGGAGCAACACAAGGGTGAAGCCTTCTCAATTAGTTATAGATTTTTGTTTTCACCAAAAACCAACCGCTAGATAATGTTTCAAGCAATCGAAGTAGGGGTACATGAACCGACCCGGGTCGATATTTAAACATACTTTTCCTATACTACACCCAGTTAAGGTTTATACTTGGGCCTTAATTGGGAGTTTTTAAGTGGTGCATTCGGGTTGAGTCAAGTTTTTGGCGCCGTTGTCGGGGATCCAACGGTTCATTCTTTTGAAAAGATTGTTTGGTGTTAATCTAGCTTTTAATTTTTGTTTTTGTGTGTGCAAATCTTGTTTGTGCTAGAAGTGTTGTGGTTCTTTTGAGTGTGTGCAAAAAGGTGTATGACTCGGGTAATCCGACACCTTTGGCGCCACTTGACGAGGATCTCAACCGCACTCTCCGACACTTGGCTCGTGAGAGGGAACTAGCGGAGGCAAGAAGGAGGATAGAAGAGGAAGGGGTTGAGTTCGAAGAGGAAGGAAGTGAAGCTGAGATGGCGGTTAATCAACCCGCTCAATGAGGAAGGAAGTGAAGCCTATCAATCTAATTGCCATTCTAACCTAGGTAGAGGGGAAAACCCACTTCCTTTCTTTGAAAGAGGCTTGAATGCTGGGTTTTCTTAGGCAATTCATTATCTCCTAGTTAGGTTAATGCAGGACAAACCTCCTATTTTGTATAATCACCTAGTGTTTGGCTGTGGGTAGCCGTCCGAACTCCGATTCGAGGGTGAAGTCTAACCAACCCTTAGTCAATAGGTCAAGAGAGTCACTTTGGTTGCTTTGATCATATCCCCTTGCATCGACCTAGAGACTAAGAGAGTGGCATTGGCTACTTGTTACACTTCCCTACTATTTCCAACCCCTCACCACACATGACTATTTGATCCAACAAGTCGTAATTGCTAGCTAGGGGGAGCAACACCCGGGTGAAGCCTTCTCAATTAGTGTCAAATCCATTTACATTTGCAAACACTTTAGCTTTAGATTATTATTTTCACCAAAAACCAACCGCTAGAAAATGTTTCGAGCAATCGAAGTAGGGGTTCATGAACCGGCCCGGGTCACTATTTAAACATACTTTCCCTGTACTTCAGCCAGTTAAGGTTTATACTTGGGTCTCTTTTTTTTGTTGATAATGGTGAAATTTTATTAGGCAAAGGAAATAAACTGTACACAGGAACACAGGATCAAGAGAAATGAACCTGGGGAGAAAGGAAAAAAAGAAAGAAACAACAAGAACAAAGTCAGGAAGAGGAAAGACACACAGACTCAGGGACAAAGAGTCAAGGCCAGCACAGACTACCAGGAAAAAAAAACATATACGCCCCAACAGGGGCAGACCTCCACGCGAAAGAGACAAATCCTCCCCACCTATCTTTGGGTCTTAATTGGGAGTTCTAAAGTGGTGCATTCGGGTTGAGTCAAGTTGCAGTCATGCTTAATTGAACTTCTTCTTGGAAGTTACAATTTTTTTTCGGAACTAGCTCATAACTTTGTTTTTCATGAGAATGCTAATTTTGCAGAATGGGAAAAAGGGTTTCCTCCTCTGGAAACTCTGAATTCCTAGTTTGAACTGTGATTATTGTGGTGTGTTGAATTTCCTTCTTATGCATGGAGGAATGATAAAGGTAAAGGGATTTACAGAGGAGAGAGCTCTAATCCTTCGAAAAAATTGGGTCATTCTGAGTTGCTTCAATAGTATGTCCGGAGAAATCGTCGGAGAGACCAAGGATCTGCCTCTGAGCAGACTGCTCCGAAGCCCGAGGAACCTCAATCTGTCTCAGCCAGAGGTGGGTGAGCAGCAACCCCATCGACCCCAGAGAAGAACGCCCAGGGCAGTGATGCCCTGTACTGATCATTGTTTCCTCCATACAATCCCATTTCTCGCCAAAGAGAATCTTGAGCGATTCCAGAGGATATTTACCGGGGAGAGCGAATGCCTTAACTGGGTTCTTTTTAACCAGTTAGGCGTGGTAAAGCTTATCAGGTCCAAGATTCAGAGACCCAGTCTAGTTCAGATTGATGGATATCAGCGAGCGGATTTACAAGATTTAGACCCTTGAGCTCCTGAGTACCCTTCCGACTCGGAATATCAAGGGTGTTGCTGCTGAAGACAACCCTCTGATAAGTTTCAAACTAGGAGCAGTTGTGCGGGATATGATGATGAGGGAGTTCACATTCGCCCTCGACATCTATCCGCAGGAGTTCATCACTGATCATCACTCGTACTCTTCACTGAAGGCAGAGAGCGACTTCTCTTTTCCTCATGCCTTCTATGAGAATTTCATGAAGATCCCGCAATGTAGACCTTGGGATGTGAAGCTGTCAAAGGGAAGCGAGGTGAAACCCTAGTATCAGCTCATTCACCATGTAATTTCTCACTCAGTTGGCGGGAAGTACAGGAGCAAGGGCAACCTCACTACCAGAGATTTCTTGCTCATTTAGAGCATGCAAAGTCGCAGCTGACTCCATCTCAGATGCTCCATCCTGCAGACTCTTTGATGTCATGGTTCAGATAAGAGGTTGATGGCTCTACACGGAGGAGCTTACATTACCAGGATCGCTAGATACCTCGGATTGGATCTAGTCGCAACCGAGAGTCACCTAGACTCCCACACAGTACCGTTCCATTTGAACATCTGAAGACTTATCTGAATACTTTGGAGCAGAACGAGGAGGGAGTCTGGGTCATTCAAGGATTGGACTTCCCATCGACCAACACTGTGGTCGTGGATGGGATCAGTCATTCTATCCCAAGCATGCAGAGGAGGAGGGGACAGAGTTCTTCGTCATCAGCATTCGACCATCACAACTTACATGCAAGCCAGTTTAGCCGCACAATCCGC